TGAGAACTCCATCATCGTGAAGTCTATTGTCCGCGTCGACAGCCTCATTCCTGAACTCGTTGAAGTCTGCGAACTCCATCCTTTTGTTCAGGATACCGAGACGTTCCACCACCTTGGCCTTCAGTCCTTTCTTTGCTGCAGCGATAAGAGTTTCATCGTTAAAGCCACACAAGGGACTGTACTGGGTGAATTCGGAGAAGTAAGACGAAGCGGATCCGGTTTGAACCAGCTTGTCTAAAGCGGCTTGGGCTGCAGCTTTCTCGTTGGAGCCCCCGAAGTTATGCTTCAAGAACCTCTTGAAGGCATCGTAGTCGTGTAGGAAAAGGGGTTGGTCTGCTTCATCCAACTGGAGATAAGACGAAACCGTTTTAAAAGCTCGTCCTCCAAGGAATCCGATAGCGAAATCGATCTTGGATCCTCCAGTGGGGTAGCGTCCAGGTAATTGTCGGAAGACCATGTTGAGTTTAACGATGAATTCGTCTAACTCCTTGGCGTCTCCCTTGAACGTGGGTGGATCAGCCGGTTTCGGTTCCTTGGTCCGTTTGGCAAGCAGATCCGCTTCGTTCTCCCGAAGGGGAACGTCCCTCATAGGAGTATAGGGATCCCTGGACCGAGCTACCGAAGGTCGGTGAAGTTCTCTAGGGTCGATAGTAGTTCCCGCTAGAGATGGAGGGTTGGATGGGTAGATGTTGAACTGCCTTCGAGGAAGGGGAGCCGGAATCTCTTCTCGTGTAGCGAGTTCGTCTCTTTGTTTCCTGATCGTCTGCATGAGTTCCAGGATTTGTTCTTCGAGACGACCAATACGTTCAGAGTCCGTTTCCCTAGGAGCCGGATTCGTTTCGATTGAGCCGGTCCTGGCTCGAGAGAACCGCTGTTCTTCCTCTGGGGGCAGGTCGTGGTTTTCGGAATAGACTGACATTGTCCTAACCAGGTGCGATAAAAAGGAAGTTCCGATATGCTGTTACGGCGGAAGTCGCTAATCGAGATAGGTCCTAAGTCGTAAGGCGTAGGGTCCTTATAGGTAGATCGCAGGTAGTCGGGAGAATGTCGCAAGTCCGCTTAGATGAAGCGGATTCGGATAAGGGATACGAATCCAGAGATGTATGGATAAGGAAGGTGATCACTCGGTGTGAGGTACCGGATTCGGTCTAAGGTAAAACGATGAAGCGTAGATACTTAGCGACGTCCTTGAGTTGTAACCTCTCCGCAACACGTCTTGAAGATGTTGTAACAAGTCAGATAGGCGTGTATTGAATGTGATATCGGAACTTGACCTATTACTATTACAGAGCGTCCTCTATCGAATTCGGTCAAGTTCCTCTAGCTATTTATACGGAGACGAGTACGGAGACGAGGCTGGCGAACACTGAAAAGACCCAAGAGAAAAGAATGGCGCGAGATGGCGAAACTGGAAGAACGAGATGGCGAACAGACAAATCCTGTCGAGAGCAACCGGATTCGGTAGAGGAGGCGAGTTTGAGTTCTCATTTGTCCCTAGGTACGTCGAGTAAGGTTGGCGAGGTCCTGAGTAGAGTTGTCGTGTACCTCGAGGTCCTTGTACCTGTGTGTGATATGTGTCGGGAAGGTTTGTTGTTTCGGTGAATGGTGAAGGCGAATGGTGGGGGCGACCGAATCTGCTCCGAGGGAATCGGATTCGCCTCGTCGAGCCGGACTTAGGTGTATGCTGATGTCCGTAGATCGAGCCTGTGTGTCGGTAGTCGACTCACGTGATGATCCCGTAACAGATGCTGACTAAGCATCACCCCAGTCCCCAGTAATCCTGGGAAATAATCCCAGTAATCCTGGGAAATAATCCCGGTAATCCTTGATTACACGCACGCGCGCACCTACTTTCTACAGGATATGGGCCACGATACGCGATACTACGAAGCACAAAGCATGCGAAATATGCGAAACATGCGAAACATGCGGAACACGAATATACCACGAAAACGAAATGCGACAGCGGAATACTAGTACGAGACTCATGGACACAACGACCGAGAAAGGGTTCACATTGGATACCGCTTCTACTGCAGTTCTGGGTTCGGGTTTGGTTCAGTTTGATCGGGGTTCGGGTTCGGTTTGTTTGAGGTTCGGATCATTCGGGTTTGGGTCCGGGTTGTTTCGGGTTTGAATCTTCCATGCCGATCCTTCCCTGCCGATCTTCCATGCTGCATCTTCCACTCACCACGTATGATCTTATGATCGACTTCCATCCTTCCATCATCGCTTCGCTTCTCTTCGCGCTTCGTCTGTTCTGCCCACCTCTCTCTTGCCGCCGTGCTAGAGGGATATACAGTACTCGTCAAGCGCAAAAGTCTGCGGGCACCACATTTGTAAACAATGGATTTTTAGGAGTTTTCTACATGATATCTGATTGTTTGCATGGCACAATGTTGCTCAGATATTGCAAATCCCTGCGTGATGGTTTATATTGGTCTATACAATAGTACCATCGATTTGTTTTGCATGTGATACTTACTGGAGAGCTAACAAGACGGTTCGAACATTAAGAGGTGACTGGGGGTGTATCCTGGTTTGATCATGTGATGTGATTGCACACAAGCCTCAGCGCTTTTCCACAAGTTTAGTGGAGGTTCTTGACCATCTTTAGATTTGGTGAAACCATATTGAAACAGATTTCCATCCGGTTGGGATGGATGAACAGCATCAAGCTTCAACTCTGCAATTGAAGGAGGATATGCCCACTTGTTGCTTCCGGCTACCGTCTCCATAGGTTAGCAGGCACAGGTTTGTAACTATGCAGAGTTGTACAGTACTATATAATGTAGCTTTGAGCAGAATCTGGGTAGTGCGCATGAGACGCAAGTCTTGTTGGAGCGTTGGGAATGAATCAGGGTGAAATCACATAATACGTGGACTCAAATGTGAGGGGCCTTCATCCTATATATGGACCAGCTGTACTAGTTAGAGAACCTGAAGGTCATCTTCATGGCTCTATAGATGAGCACTACGATCTTTACATAGACCTAGAGTCTATCGAATGGGATACAAGGTCCTCACAAGTATACACTACCTTGAAACTTGTACCATGTAATCCAGAGTATCTTGGGTGAGCTAGGGACAAGATACCTGTCTACAAACACCTGGATCTGTGGACGGACTCAGAATTCAAGCCATTCTGAACACTGTTGCAAGTCTAGATACTCATTGACCATTGTATAATTCAAAAACACGTCTGATTGTTCCCATAATGACCTTTGTTTACAATGTGGTGCCCGCAGACTTTTGCGCCTGACGAGTAGACGGGATACGGGGATCGGGGGAAGAGTGGAAAGTCCTTTCAATTTCGTTTCAACCCCGAAGATCGATCAAGGGAGAAGACACACCGATCGAAGCCTCAAAGGCTGAAAGGACGCGGATCTTCCCTTTCGAGTCCTCGAGGCGAAGTTTCCGAGGCTTCGACGCTGAAGGTCTTTCGTACGATCGCAAGACCCGGCAAGCTTCGACATCCCCCGGTACGTTGCTACGCCGTACGTACAGAGATTTCAGGAGATAACGACCCTCGACGGCCTCGACCACGATACTGGCAGATGCTCGTTATCTCCCCCCCCCCCCCTTTCGTCGCGCTTATCTCGCGCGTCCGTGATTGGCTCACGCGCGCGCGGGGGATGAGACGAGACGAGACGAGATAAGAAACAATGACGGGGCAGGTGGATCGCCTTCGATAAGGAAAATCCACAGCATGCCCGAGGTTGATGAGAGGCAGGGAGCAGGGAAGGGAAAGGAGAGGAAGAGAAAGGGTTCGGGGATGCCAAGCCACCGTGGAACGGAAGGTGTCTCACAGATAGAGATAGGGGGGGTTCTTTTTTCCGAACGGGGGCGAAGAGGGGCGAAGGGGGTGGCGCAAGAGGAGAGGGGGCGCGCGTGTTTCATCAATCATCAAAGGCCCAAAGGCCCTTATCGTGATGAAGGTGGGTGTCGTCGGTATATCAACTCGTAGTCCCAAGAGAATGAACTCCAAGCCCAAGCCTTCGTCATTCGTTGCCCTTATCTATCTCGATCCGTCTCTCGCTTCTCGGTTCATTTCGCCACCCCCTCGCACCTCGATTCAATCTCCGGACAGACTTGTCACCCGCATTCCCTCTCGATCTCGGCGTTCTTCGATCCGACCCGAACAAGACAAGAGATCAAGAGACGCCCTGTTCGTCCTTGGGAGATAGCTGAGGCGGTATACGGTATACGGTATATAGATAAAGCACGATTCCCCTTTGATCCGATCAAAAGGTCTTCCTTCGTCTTCCTTCGTCTTCTACTTTGATCGAATACAGACTACTACTCTTCGTCGTCGTCTTCGATTATCGTTCGACTCTTCTGGTGTTCTCATAATCACCCGCCGTCATCACCGCCACCTCACTTACCTCCCCAACAACAAACCAAAGACACTCGACGCAGACAAGACGAGACAAGGATGGTCAACGTAACCTACTCGGAAGTATCCGGAGATCCGACGTATTACATGGCAGATGGAACGCCGGCGTTGTATAATCTGGGGGATATGGCTTGGATGTTGACGTACGTCCGCTTGCTCCTTCCTCTATTTCTGCTCGTCTTTACTCCTCTTTATTCTGCCTCGCCACGCCAATTTGACTGACCGTCGTCACGATCCCTCTTTATTACCTCTTTATTACCTCTTTATTACCTCTTTATTACCTCTTTATTACCTCTTTATTACACTCCACTTCTCTCTATATCAAACTAAACAGCTCGACAGCCCTAGTATTCATAATGATCCCAGGAGTAGGCCTCCTCTACTCGGGTTTGTTGAGGAGGAAGAACGCACTGTCGATGCTCTTGATCTCGTTTTTGGCGATCGCGGTGGGGAGCTTTCAGTGGTTCTTGTAAGTCCCGGTTCTTGCCCCTCTCCGTCCGGTCTTCCCCGTTTCCTTTTTCTTCTTTCGGACCGATTGTGCACGGTTGGTTGGCGACCTTGCCCCCACAACGACCGCCCCGCAACGTCCGATCCTCTGGCGCTCCCATGATCACATCAAGCCTGACGCTGACCTCACACATCTCTCACGTTCATTCCTTTCGTCGTCCGATAGCTGGGGATACTCGCTAGCTTTCTCAGAGGGGGCCGCCTCGTCCCACTTTATCGGAGACCTCAAATACTTTGCGTTCCAGAATGTTCTGGATCAGCCGTCAGGAAGGATCCCGGTGCTCTTGTTTGCGATTTGTGAGTCAGAGGATTGGGCTTCTAGCTCAGAGCGAAAGGAGAAGACAAGGAATGCTGACGTTGACCTCGTGCTCGCTCGGCTCGCTCGGCTCGCTATCGCTCGCCCGCGCAGTCCAAAACATGTTCGCCTGCATCACCGTCGCCCTCGCCTGCGGAGGATTCGCCGAACGAGGCCGTCTCCCCCAGATCTGCCTGTTCATGTTCGTCTGGCTCACCATCGTCTACTGCCCCATCGCCTGTTGGACCTGGAACGCCGAGGGATGGAGCTTCATCATGGGCGGCCTCGATTACGCCGGAGGTACCCCCGTACACATCTCTTCCGGGAGCGCTGCGCTCGCTATCGCGCTCTATTTGGGCAAGAGGCGAGGGTACGGGACGGAGAGGTTGGCTTACAAGCCGCATAACACGTTTTTCGTCGTACTCGGGACCGCGTTCCTCTGGCTCGGTTGGTTCGGGTTCAACGGGGGGTCCGGGTTGTCGAGCAACCTCCGAGCTGTCATGGCCCTCGTCGTCACCCAGATGTCGGCCTCGACCGGTGGGATTGTGTGGATGTTGATGGACTGGAGGCTCGAACGCAAGTTTTCGGCCGTAGGGTTCTGTTCGGGTGCGATCGCTGGGTTGGTAGGGATCACGCCTGCTGCGGGATACGTCGGGGTCGCCTCGGCCGTTGCGTGAGTGCCAAGCTCTCGTTGGTGTCCTTGTCGATAGCTTGTAGACTGACCTCGGACCTTTCGTAGCATCGGCGCCATCACCGCCATCGCTTCCAACTTGGCCACCCGACTCAAGTTTGTCCTCCGGATCGATGAATCGCTCGACGTCTTTGCGTTGCACGGCGTCGGGGGTGGAGTCGGTTGCGCCTTGACCGCGTTGTTCGGATCGGCTTCGATCGTGAGTCTCGACTCCAGCGTGCCAATGTTTTATCATCTAGAGACCCGCCGCTAACGCTCGCCATTGTTGACCTCGATCTTCTAGGCCGGCCTCGATGGCAGTGACCCCATCGCCGGTGGTTGGTTCGACCAGAACTGGATCCAACTCGGATACCAGGTCGCCGACTCGGTCGCCGGTTCCGCCTACTCGTTCGTCCTCACCACCGTCATCTGCTGGCTCTTCCACTTTATCCCCTTCCTCCGTCTCCGATCGGCCGAAGAGGAGGAGATTGTCGGGATCGACGAGTACTGGATCGGCGAGTGGACCCACGATTACTGCGCCGTCGACCGAGAGTTGGGCGTCAGCAGGGCGGATGACCACGTCATGATGATGGAGAGGACCGAGTCGAGGAGGTCTGGCAGCGAGGTCAAGGCGGGGAGCCCCAACGAAAAGGCCAGCAGGAACACGAGCGTTACGACGAACGAGGTTACCGTCTCGCCCGGTGCTTCCGCACACGGTCTTCCCGGCGGGTCCAGGGTGGATGCCTAGAGAGGTCGGAGTGGTAGATTTAGATAGAAGGGTCGAGAGGGGAGTAGGATGATCGATGTCTGCCTCGAGATTCATCGAGCGATCGCCTGTTTTTGTAATGAGATCTGAGAACGTGTTTTGTCTTTGGGGAACCCGAGCGTCGTATAACCACGCCTTGGGATGCGATAGCCATATTTGATACATAATTATGCCACACACTCCGCTAAACGCATCGACGGTTCTTGCTTCATCTTGTTTTCCCATGACCAACTTGAGTGATTTACAGGGAAAAAGTCTGTATGCACGGATTGCTGGACACGCTGATCGCCCCTGAAGAAGCACATTGTTCTAGCATCAGGGATCTCAGGGCTCTCATGTGACGCTCGCTTTTCAGCGCTACTCGTCGAACTCCAGCGAATCACTGGTCGATCGACCCTCATCCGAGACTGTTTTCTCGTATGCCAAATCGAGAATCGAAGAGATCGATGGTAGAAGATATGGACGTGCCAAGCTGCGTACAATCAAGTATACATCAAAAGGTTGAAACAGCTACGAGACCTCGAGTCCATGGATCTGCCCTCAAGTATAACGTGCCACTGCAGGATGCTGTGCGGTCGACGAGCTCTCGATCTACAAGTACCAGATGTCGCAACAACCCTCGATAGGAGGCGCACCTAGGTCGTCGTCGAAATTAGCAGTGAACACAGACCGCAGGTCAACGAAAAGACTGACTGAACGGAACCGTCTTGGCATTTTTCGAATCGCAAGCCCCCTGCCAGTCGCTTCCCTTTTCGGCCTTCATCGCTACCGCCATGTGACCTCCCTCGGGAGTGTCTGGACTAGGATAAAGCATGTTCAACTTGATCCCGTGGCCAGCCTTGAGGATCTGACACGATTGCGTCTTTCCGTGAAAGATTACCCCGGCACAGTCTTCCGGTGGCAGATGTGCGACGTCAGAGCTTTCGATCCCGAAATCACGTTCCGAGTTGTGCCACCCACCAGGACCTCTGTTCCAGCATTCATCGGTGCATTGGAACATCCTTTCAAAGCCGCCAGTGAGCATATAGGAAGCCTGTATCGTGTTGGCAGGGAATCCCGATAAGGTCAGCGTCTTGGCGGATCACACGCGAGAGATACTATGACTTGCGTCTTGCATGGATCCCTTCCCGACGAAATCTACCTCGACAAACCGGAAGGCCGCCATACCCTTCCCGGTATCGGTCGTCCTGCTACCCGGGCAGACGAATCGAGCGGATACACTGCTGGTAATAGCTCCCAGGAGGGCAATGAGGGAGAAGAGTCTGACCATTGTTGACAGAGCGGGGCAAGTTATCGATAGGTTGATGCGGCGGGAGCTAGAAACGGTCGGATTGTCGTTGTCAGAGGCCAGGAGACCCCGCTTATATGTCTTTCGCCGAACAATACGATGTGACTGAGCTCAAAAAGCCCACAATCCGTGCATCGAGCGCTTAGTCCCTTTGTTATGCGTGGGCCTCTATCAGGCTGAAAAGGTGGTGGCAATCCCGTGGGTGCCTTTAACGGCGATGTAAGGATCTCTTGGTGCGTTACTGAAACTGTGGACCATGCTTTCCTTTCAAGGTTTGGGAGTCTGCCAAGGCAAGACAACAGCGAGGCTGTTTGAAGGCCCAGATCCGCCTTTTCTGGATCGACCTTGGCACCTTCGCCCCTCGCTCTTCATCGCGATAGGACCTTGTACCAGCCCCTCGCGCGTGACTTGAAACATTCGACGCAAAGTCACTTTGCGCGTCTCGAAAAAGGAGGTGACGATCAGCGCGCCCGGCGCAGCGCAAAGCCGATGCTTTCCTTGCAGTATCTGATTGTCCAGTTTCGAACATTCTTCCCGAGCGCCGCGTTGACTGCTGGCGGCCTGAGTTTCGTCTTAAGTTGCTCATGGCGTTCTTGGCAAATAGAATCATTTCTGAAACAGCTGTGCTTCCTTCTCTAGACGATGATGGGTCCATCTCCTACTCGTAGGGTAAAGAGGTATCGAACAGCGTATAGCCTCCATCGGCACAAACGTCAGGCTCTTCTCCAACCCTTCGACATGTCGCCAGTCTGCTTAGCGCAAAGCAATCCGTTGGGCGGCATATTCGCCGTGAGACGGATGCCAACAAGGCCCGTGCTGAGCGCTACATCGGGAAGATGGCCGGATGATTGTAGTTGATGTGTTTCCCGATATAGTTTCATTCCACACGGCACCAGCCTCAGTTCTTGCTCATGGACGCCATCTACAAAGCTGCCACAACGCCAATGCAGTGTCAGGCGGCGGAAAGATTGCAGAGACACAAGCATCACGGTCCACCTGGTATAGAATCCGGCGTTGTCAGAGCGATAGAATCCTTAGAGCATGGAACACCGCCTGGGGATGGTCATACAGGCGGTTTGCATCGATGTTAATGGCAGAAAAACCCAAGATCCGACTGGCCAGTTATTCGCTGTTGTCCATCCATTCTCCCTCTATTGCTTTGGCCCTGAATCACATTCTCAATCCACAAGCAGAGATACACCGTTTCAAGAGACAAGTCCTCATCAAAACCACTGCCATTCTCTATATCATTGAGCCTACCATCAAGAGGATATCTCGAGCGATTCTCCTCGACGCGAAACAGTAAGCTAGTCAAGTCCGTCAGCGGCCATATTGTGCCAGTGAGGTAGTCCACGGCGACTCGCCTTCCTGCGACATGGCGTGATTGGGTGATCATGTGACCGGACATAACAAGAATGCTCGTCAAGGGTGATGATCAGGAGCCGATGAAAGGAGGACCGATTCCAGATCGTCTGGAGCTTGCTTCTCGGATCTGCATATAGGCAGGGGCGTTCCATGTAAAGGTTCGAGAAGAACGGAAATCCTTCGGCATGATCTTGGGTTTCTTTTCCTCAAGCGACGCTCTGGATCGTAGTATCAATACATCCGATATCGACATATACAGACACAGCATGCAGACTTCCGACACGAGTCAGTACCCTTACAGTGATGGTGACGATTCACATGGCTATGTCGCATACGACACTGTCGGTACACAATGGTACAATAGTAATGATGCCAGTGCAAAAGGGCGAGGAACCAATGCCGCTTCAGCAGACCCATTCGAGTTGCAACTGTCAGAACAGCTCTTGGTTTCGACCTTTGATCGGCACCCTGGTAGCCTGTGCTATCCTGTCGACACAACCAGTTTTCAGACGGATCCTTACGCAGCGAGCAACGTGTATGATTGGCCTCACACAGACACCAGCTGCTTGCCACAAAACCACATGGGCGATGACAGGAGCAGAATAATCCCACCCCAGCTATATGACCACAGTGCCTATTTGAGTCCTCAGCAACATTTCGATCTAGGCCATAATCAGTCAGGAACCGTGTTCAATCAACAGCATCGATGGTCTGAAGATCTTACTGATTCATGTGAGTTGAAGTGGTGCCTGTTGTTTCGGGATTTTCTGACATATACGGGAATCAGACGCAGGAGCACCTCTGTCTCAGGTGCCTCATCCATTCCTTCTGGAAAACGATACGACATATAGTATGCCTGATCATACCACAATCGAATGGATCGATTACGAGATCTCGAATGGTAAGTTACAACTGTTAACGCACAGAATCACGATATTTGGATGTCTGACACGCAATTGATACAAGCGCCTTGTTATGCGACAACATCTGTAGCATATGAGGTGTCAGGTTTGGTCTTGCCCGTAGCCAGCTTTTCGAGTAGTAACCAGACTGCTGAAGAGATCTCAGATGGTAAGCCACAACTCATGACTCAGAGTGCTACTCACCTTCTGAGCAGGTCCAATGATCTATCTCTGGCAGGTCCATCGATAGCCACCTACGCTGGGCAGAAATTTCCTCGTCGAGACATCCCAGATATTGCAAAGGTCGATACACCCAGATCGATCGCTTCTCGTGGCGATACAGCTGTCGATCTTACAGGGTACGGAGGCGGTTCCATGGTCTTAGGGGGTGTGTTTCTGAATTTGCCTCCTCAAACCCCAAACACCTTCATTGAACAGTTGAGGACGACTTTACAAGACCTGGAATACCCGAGCCTAGTCAAAGTCCAGGACGCGTTGGAACTCCAGACCAGCCCAGCGCGACAGCTTGTGTTTTTGAACAATCTGTACGAGGCGCTTGATACAGAGAACAAGGTCTCTGGTTTCGTTGGAAACAGAAACAAACCGAAAGAGTACTACATATTCAGATGCAGCGGCTACAATTGCGTCAGAATCATAATGCGCATGGGAAGCAGAATAGGCATATGTCAGTCATGTCAAGCCAGAGAATCAAAGGCAAAGAAAAGGGGATTGCCTGAAATCTAGACTCATTACGAATGTGGAGAGACCTGAGATGACAGCTGTACTCTTTCCGTATTATAAACATCGATCTGAAGATACAACCAGTACTGCGCTTCATTAATTCTTTGATATTTCCGTAATCCTTCATCTGTCCAGATGCGACGCAAACTTGAAGGTACATACGATACATCTTTCGACCGTCAAGCCTCGCTTGTTGCCGAGATACGATCCAACACAAAGTCGAGACTAGGACGAATAGCATTTTCCCACCAGTCGTTCCCCTCTGGCCAAGCCGGATCAGTCTGATGCGCCTCGGCCGGTCCGTGTCCCATCCCTTTCGCAACGACGAATTTGGAATCCACTCCAAGCGCTTGTAAGCGGTCGAACAGTTCCTGACTCTGTGAGGGGGGGACGAGCTGGTCGGCGTCGGCCATGACAACGCAGGTCGCAGGGAAGGTCGGTGTGACGAGGTTGATCGGGTGCATTTCATCGGGGAAGGGAGCGTCTGTCCCGCACATGATCGAGCCGAGGTTCCCATCGACCCGGACCTATCATGACGTTGTGGACGAAGATTTTCCGGTCAGACCTTGACGATGTGAGGTACGATATACTCGCCAGGCCGGTCCCGGGTACTTGCCTGTGTCACGTAGGCCAGCCTGCTGTCCTCTGCCGAAAGAATCCCTGGCACTGGCGGTCGTCCGTCAACTCCAAAGATGGCCTCTGAAGCCCTGTACTCATAGGTGCCAGAAAAACAGGAAAAGAAAGCTCGGATGAGCCAGACGTCGAATCTGTTTGACCCTCGACGGGTGCGACCTCTTGATGTTAGTTTCTGACTGACAAGAGCATCTTTGAAGCGTCGAGCCGATGGTCCGTCCCGCACGGTTCCGCCATAAGTTGATCCCAGTATCGCTTCAAGAACGGATTTGACTGTAGAGCGCGGTCCCATTTGGATAGCGGTTCGTCGAATACCAGCCTGACGAGGGGGTAGGTAGGGGCGATACATTGCAGAGGGGGTAATGGCGGATCATCAGGATGTGCCTGGTTGGCTTGCTCGATCGCGGCGGCCTATTCCTCGATCGAGTCCGTTTGTATTTCACCACCATCGAACCAATCATACCCATCATCAGATCGCCCGAAACTGGAATATTGGAGTCTCGCCACTTGCACTTCCCGCCTGACTCACGAGATAAATAACGCTACTCCCCCCAGCAGACCAACCCAGGGCGGCGCATCGACGGGGATCGATGTCGATCAAGGCTCCCGCTTTGTGTAGGTCTGCTCGCAGGCCCGTTTGGCTCTGGACGTATTTGTACGAATCCAGGAGGTCTGAGATGATCGCCGTCATATCGACGCTATGGTAGGATACCGTTGCGTTTGTCAGCATCGATGAAAATCTGGATATCCGTATTGATATTCCATGATCCGCGCCCGGCCTAGCGGGTCGAATACGACCCAAGGTAGGGTCAAGAGCTCGAGGAGGGGACGGCTTGCACTCACTGAGGTAGAAGCCGGTAACTGAACGAGACTACCACGACTCCCCGATCCAAGAGATACCGGACTTGGGCATAGGGGATGTCGAGCGCTGAGCCGGTTTGGAAGGCTCCGCCGTGATACATCCTGTGATTCCATCCCCGAACATCCCCCCTCTTCTTTAGCTACCTGCACCCCGTGATGTACTGTTCTATGACGAGCCCTCGAGACACCTGGACGACTCTTACAGAGCTAACGGCGCCGCCGCACCCCTAACATTCCCACTAGATCCGGGTTGCGATCGATCCTTGGCTCTAGGTAGCCAGACGAGCGCTCGACAGCCTCCATACTGTACCCCGGGGATGGGTTTGTACAGGAACATGTGGTCCGGGGGGAATTCTACCGGAGAAGGCATGGATAGCTCGCATGTCTCGTGAGTCTTATTCGAGCACATGTCGAATGGTGGACCAGGTATGGGGTTTCGAGAGTTCGAGTTCGGGTAAGTATCGCGATGTCGGTCCTATCCGAGACTGAGTTTGGATGTAACTTTGCGACCAAAGCGACTTTACTGACTATCATCTGTTGTCTCTAGTCCTGCCTATTAACAGGTCGCAGTTGACCTGACATACAGGTCAATCGAGATCGGGCGATTTACAGAGCCTCGGTAGATTGCTCATTCAACATCTCTGGACCGGAGTGATTCGGTCCGAATGCCGGTTATGCGATCAACTTATGCTTTACAGTAGGTCCTGGATATGGTCTTGAGTCACTATAGCTAGGCTCACGGATCACCGCTTTACACAATAATAGATCCCTGGGGAAAGCCCAGAGGATTCGTGAATTCATGCGGTAGGTGTTGTGTCAGCCGGGTGAGGTGGAGTGAACATACCGGACCACACCATCCATATCGCATGATCGCACGATCACATGATCAATTGCAGTAGTAGTGGCAATTACAGGCCAGGGGGTGGGGGGGGGGGGGGGGGGGGGGGGGTTTAGGGTTAAGAATGCAAAGAAAGGAAGACTAGCACACCATTGCTACTCTGCTTGAAAGGCATCAGGCAGATTCACGGGTATAAATACCAAGCCACATGATGGGAAATTGAGCTATTGCACTTCGAGAACATCACCTCACTGCATACAAGTATCTTGATCATCTCTACTACTTTTGGAAGATTGACATCATGAATAGAACAACTTGGAGAGGCCCCTTTGAGGATGCAACTTCTGGCCGGCATTATGTCGAGTGGGTTGATCCAAATGGGCACATCATGGGTCGGGACTACGACAATCTACCCAATGTAGACCTCTCAGCTTTAACGGGAACATCTCTACAAGAACCCTCTTACCCTGATGGCAGATCTGCTATTAAAACCACATATGCAGAGAGTGTGCCATTCAGCACTAATGCCATGACTGGCACATACAACCCATTGTCTAGTGGTCAGGCTAGTTTCTCACAAGGATTCACAGCTTACGCTCCGGCAGGCACTGCACCCATTGATTATGATGAGCACAGTCAAGCTCGTCAAGGTTCAATTGCATTCATGCTATCAACAGAGGCTGCAGCAAGAACAACGAGCTATGAACAGCAACACAATCTCTGGACTTCTGGGTTCAATGATCCACTAACTCAGCCGGAGCTGGGTCCTGGGCCTTACGGTTCCTCATCACATCTCTCAGATTTTGCAACTATATCTCATGTACAACCAATGGGCAGAGAAGACTTGGCTCTGCCCAATCAAACGGTGCCCCTGCAAGGTCCAAGGACAGTGCGGCTTCTGGGCTGTATCACGCAGTTGCCTGAGAAGACCACAGATAATCAAATTCAGGAAATAAAAGCCTTCTTAGCGAAACTTGATACCCACAAGAGCACACCAAAGTTCATAGCAGCACAACAAATTGGAAGATCTCCAGAAGATCAGCTGGAGTTCTTGACAGGACTTCAAAAAGCTGTTGAAACAGGAGGTCTTGTTGCATTTGGCAATGGCAAACACTTTCATGTCTCCACATGTGGGGGTAGTAACTGTTCAAGGGTGATGATCTTCAAGACACAGAGTGGGGGACGCTGTCATTACTGCCAGGAAAAGCTCAGGAAAGGAAAGACCAAGCGGAGCCCGCCAGGAAATTTATCCCACAGCCAATTTTCTTTGGCAAGCAATGGAGACCAAACCTCATATCATATGCAGACACTTCCTTGCACAAGTGACGATCAGCACGATCCAGTTGATCTTTCCAACAAAGACAACATCATGCTTGACAGGTATACAGAGCAGAGAGCATCTGCAGCCAGTGGAAAGGTGGCCAATCTCCTAGGGGAGAAGGTGACCCTGCCAGACATCAGTGATGCCCAAGTTGACCAATTTAACCATTTCCTGTGGAGACTGGTTGGGGTCAGTCAAATCAGGGTTAGGGAGGAATTGGAAGCCGACAAGACTCCAGATCAACATCTTAACTTCTTGGTAGGGCTGCAGCAGGCCGTTGGCGCAAAGGCAGCATACGGGAACTGGTATCTGAACCCTGGAAAGAATTATTGGGTTGTCAAATGCTCGTATGGCGTCTGCGACCGGATAGCAATCAGAGACAATTCTGCAGAAGAATTCTGCGACAACCATAACGAGGCAGCTATGAAGCGAAGAAAGCGGAGATTTAACAAGATGGACAGACATTGAGCATCAGAGGCGATGACACGGGGAGGTCAAGATGGTACAAGTGGGAAGCAAAGTGGATACTGTTATAGCGACGCGTGTGTACACCGGATTCGAGCCGTACCAACTCCGCCGGAGTTGTTCAAGGAGCATATCGTATTGTATCACTTCCTATCCTCATTGTAGTATATAGTCTTTCATCTGTTATTACATCTATATACCCTAGCTGTTACGGACCGACCCAACTCGGCCTCCACACAACTTACAACCTACAACGTACCACCTACAACGTACCACCTACAACGTACAACCTACAACGTACCAATTACAACGTACAGCCTACAACGTACTGAGTACATTGTCCCAAGTACTATGTACTCCTCTCCACCTCCCGCCTACCAACGCCACTACCTGGCTACACTGTACCCAACACAATGGGTCACTCACATTGTCCCCGACACAATGTACAGCACACATTGTGCTGTCCCTTCCCTTCCTACCTTTCAGTCCACAACGGACACCACACAATGTGAACTCACAATGTAATTACACATTGTGATACTAGGTCTACGTTCTCTATCTCAACTAGTATATATAGCTGGCCAGTTCAACCTGTTTGTACTACTCCCCTTCATGTTCTCTCTTCTTTCCCAAGAAGAATTATCATATGTTACATCCCTAAACCTTAGCCACCCAACCACCTCTCACTACTCAACACTGGAGCTCTCGTCAAGCCCTTCACGGTCAGCAAGCAGATTGCGCACCAAGCACTTCCCGTTGAGTATCTCTGCCTTAGCACAATTCCTACTGACGCTTTCCACCTAGGCTAGCCTTTCGCTACCACTAGGCCCGACCGTAACACTAGCCCTATGTTCTACATTACTCCCGGATATGTCCTCCCAGGTATACATCGAGCCGGTCTTCCCTGGAGCCTTCTCGACGCCTAACAGATACACAGAATAGATTGAGCGGCATGTGAGATCAATATGTTTATAAAATACAGCTGAGCCAGCCAGCCAGCGGTGCATCCCACTGGGGCCATGCCGTGGCTTGTCCATCCATGATTCAATCTCTAACGTGGAGACAGTAGCAGACCTCTTCAGCCTTGTTGTCCAATGGCATAACACTGTCACCGCAATGTTATTGGCATGTTGATATGACCAAATAAGGGGTGGTCTCAAGCTAGGGGGAGTTCCAAATGCCAACAAAGGAAGACTAGCACGTCGTGTATGTTTCATGTGGAAGTTATGGGGCAGGATGAGCATATATAGCAGCACACACAACAGGGACATTCAAGACTGACAACAAAGATTTTAGTAGCAAAAGATCAACCTTCTCATCTACTTCCAATCAATTATTATCATCATCACCATGAGTGCAAGAACCTGCACCGGGCCCCACTGGGATGCTTCTTCAAACAGTTACTACACTGCGTGGTTCGACACGGCAGGGAACTTCATATGTAAGGAGTACAATCCACCTACAGCAGATCTTCCAGGTTTGGTGAATACAGTGTCACAGGATTCATCTCATGACTTGTCAAGCATTGGACTTGCTGGCAACACCACATATAGAGGGAGTGTGGGATCTTCTCACACAGCCTTTGACCAGTATGACCCAACCTGCTATACAAACATGGACCTTTTCACTCAGCAAGGACAATATACCAGCCAACAAATTACATCACAAGGATTGATAATGTCTCCTGGAGCTCAGCCCATGGACATTGGATCTGCAAATAACCTGTATGACACCAACGACCAGAGCGCCCATGCAGACCCTTTCATGTCCACGAATTTTGTAGGCATCCAAGACCAACAGGATGCCTGGTTGTTTGATCCGGCTTTCACAAGTAAGCCACTGTGACATCTGAAAGTTGGCCTCAGCTAATGATATGTCTCAACAGACCTACAGATGCCTGAACTGTATCCTGGTTCTCTTGATCTCTCATCACAGATCCCCAACGTCAATGGTCAACATAGTGCACCGGGGGGTAGCTCAGACTGGGCTTTCCCCAACCAAAATGCACTGCAACCAGCCGCCATGACAGAGGATTTCCTAGGCTGCAGTGTGGATCTGCCTGCTGGGATCACAGAAGGTAAAATCCAGGAACTGAAACGCTTTTTGATGAAACTTGATACTAAAACAAGCAAACCAAGGTTAAAAGAGGCACTTGGAATTCAGAGGTCTCCAGAGAAACATCTGAAATTCCTGGAAGGAGTCCATGATGCACTTGATGCAGGCGTTGCCGTCGCATTTGGCAAAAGCGGTCAATTTTGCGATTATTACTATGTCTCCACATGCACCGTTAGTGGCTGCACAAGAGTAAACATTATTCCCAAGGAGAATGGAGTCTGTCGCAATTGCCAGGACAAAGCAAGGAGATTGAAGCCAGCCAAACAGGAACACAAATGATGTAGATTAGTAACTTACGATGCTTGTAACCTGTACAAAATAATGATTCATCCTGTGAGAAATTCTTACTGGGTTTTGTGAAGATGAACAATTGACGGCAAGTCTCAGCTCACAAGAGTCACACACTTTACAGTGCCCGAAGTTGCGGGCTTCAACATTTTGAATATGCTGACCCAACAAAGAGCAACTCTGACGACCTCGTCACTGCTTGATAGACTCGACTCTGCCTCATCCTGGTAGTATAGAGATCGATCTCAGCTCACAAAAGCTCTCGAACATGTCAGAATCGGTACCTACAGAGACCGCCCCAGTCCGACTACCGCCATCGCTCATCCGTAACCCTCAACTTCGGTATTGCGAGCCGTATTACTATCCGTACCGTACCAACGTTAAAGCCAGGTACTTCATGTCATGATACCTCATCGCTCAATCTTCGGAGTATAGCTGATTGTGTGGATTCTGTTGCTATGTTGTTCTTGTACAACGCTGTGATCATATCGCAGATGGATAGGAAGACAGATACTCGAGGTCATCTCCACCGAATTCAGGGACCGGTCGGTGGAATATTATGTCAGTCCGGACGAACGACCATCTTTTGTGCTTCTCAACGACGTTTGCCCTGACGGAAGTCTGAAGCGGATCCCCTTCACGATTACATCCCGCCCTCATGATATCTCTCCACCCTCCACCTCAAACTCGCTACGCTACGAACCATGAAACACCCTAATGGAACGGACGTCCCCAAAACCCTCGATCCGGACTTCGTTTGATTCAGAAACACGCCCTGGAGAGCGGAGTAACGACCGTCAACGGGAAACCCGCTAAGCCTGATCTGGTGTTGAAGAATGGGGATCGGATCGAGTCAGTTCCTTCCTCCCATCTGCTCTGCTCCGCTCTATTTCTGCTCATGCGAAGTTAGAATAATTGAGCTGATATGATTGTTGTGTACATTCCATCCTATCTTGTGTTATACGTGTCGTCTACATCATGTTGGTTTATGATATAATGCGATGCCACCCCTCTGAACTCTGAATATATCGGATTTCTCAAACATCTCGAACATCTCGGACGACTTGGATGATGCATTATATAGGAACACCGTCCATCGGCACGAACCCCCGATCACGAAATCCCCCGTTTTAGTATTGCACAAGGACGAAGCTAGGCAGTTTATCGTGATCAGTAAACCTGGGTCTGTCGTGAGTCACCTGTCTATATGTCATGTCTTCCACTTTCGTGTCACAAGATTCTGATGGAGGATTCGATGTGACGATGATGGTCCGCTTTGCTGACGACTGAATTGTCATCGTTTGGATGTGTTTGTAGCCGGTCCATGCGACAGGGAGGTATTTCAAGCATACGGTATTAGAGCTCTTGAAGTCCGATCATGGAATCACCGCCTATAGTAAGATTTTTCCCGTCCCTTTTCTCTCTCACTGGTATCGCGTCCCACTTATCTACTCACGCTCTTACATCCGATCTTGCTCTCTCTTTCTCCTTTCCGCTTTGCGATCGAACCACTGTACAGGCGTCAACAGGCTGGACCGACTCACTTCCGGCCTCATGATCCTCGCTACGACGGGTAAAGCATCTACAGGTCTCGCTCAGGAATTCATCAAGGGGCACGTCAAGAAGGAATACCTCGCGCGGGTCCGGGGGAAGTTTCCCGAGTGAGTCCGGTCCAGTCCGCCTTAACTTGTTCTGTTGTAATTGCCATGCTAACGTGTACATTCGATCACGTCTGGGAAATGATGACGCACGTGCTGGTGATGCTCAGGGAAGAGCAGACGGTGGATCAGTCGTTGTTGACAGTAGATCGGCAGATGGGCTTGGTCATCTGTACGCCGGACGGCAAGGTGAGTTTCCTGTAGATGCGAAAGCGATGAGGGAGGAGTTTGTGAGTGGAATTAAGGTGGCTGATGCGGATGCGACTCTTGTAGGACGCCAAGACGATTTTCAAGAGAATGTTTTATGACGCCGAACGGGATCAGAGCGTGGTGCATTGTAGGTCAGACGAAGCTGGCGACGGTTACGGGATGGTACTGATGTGATGGACCATGACAGGCCGACCGATCACCGGACGGAGTGAGTCGCATCGTGGCCATCTCGAGATGTTGCTTCGCGTCTGACGATATGCCTCATAGCCCATCAGATTCGTGTGCACTTGCAATACCTCGGCTACCCGATCGTCAATGATCCGCTGTACGGCGACCCTCGGGTCTGGGGACCGACGATCGGCAAGGGCGGGGTCGATCTCACCCCCGACGCTGATGAGGACCACCACACCTCGGCTGGCCCGGACGACGAGGCCTCGACGCTATCCTCCCAGCTCGCGAGGATGCGAGGCGAAGAGTCATTACCATCGGGCAAGATCATCCCCAAGGCGGGCAAGACGGAGCAAGACCTCGCACGGCTAAAGAAGCGACTCAAGGGCGAGCTATTGCCTCGCGAGTCTGAAATCGAGGACGATGCGGTCGGAGGGAGTCCGATCTATTTGAGCAGGGAGGCGAGGGAGGTCATCTCCAAGCTCAGGCGGCAGAAGGACGAGGCCGAGGATTGGGCCAAGTGGGTCGGCGTTCAAGGCCACGTATGGCGAAGTATACTGACGTGCGCCTGCTTGATTGCTGTGTAGATGGAGCGAGGTCATGTACCGGACGAAACAAGCCACGCAGGAGACGTCAGAAGGTGAGTCGCTAGTGGAATCTCGCTTGTTCTTGAATCTATCTGGAAAGAATCGCACTATGTTCGTCGAGCTGGCAACAACACACGATGGCGGATCGTCGTCGACGAGCTGTGCTCCAGACTTTTCCGAAAAAATCTGCCTTGCCATAGCTCGAATCCAGCTGTTCCAGGGGGAAGGAAACCAGGTCGACTCCAAGCGAAAAGTGATTTTTGAGAACGGAACAACCTCCTCGCAAAGAGGCTTCAGTGAATACGAGGTTGTCCTGTCAGAATCGGAGATGATGGCGCCAGGAAAAGCCCCAGTGTATACCAACAGGCCGGCCTATCGAAGGACGGCAAGATCGGACGTGTGAAAAGCACACTCGGCCAAACGAAGACAACGCCTTCGAAGCCGAGCAGACGAAAGGTCTAGTCACAGCCGTCCTCTCGGGCAAAGAGTGCTGGATGGCAAAACGGAAGACAGGGACGAACTCGACAGAAAGTGCTCAAGAGAGGCGGAGCAAAAGCATTAGAGCGAAATACAGCCCGAGGCATAGCGCTCGTTCGGCGTCACAAAAAGACCATCTCGTCGTCTTCCGATGATGATGTCTGTCTCGCGTTTTGTCCTACCGTGACGGGTCAAACGGAGCTCTCACCCTTGACCTGACCTGTTCTGACCACCTTACATTATCTGCAATTCGCCACACTACAGGCCAAACCCCCTCCCCCGTCTTACAATTCGCCTCGGTACCCCCCGGCTTTTGTCCCCAATGCCATATCCCCTTAGCCCCCGACCCTGCTGTCGAAGCGTTGTTCATCTATTTACACGCTTGGAGGTATACGACGGAGGTCTGGGGGGAGTTTAGTACGCCGCTGTGAGTCCATGACGTGTTCGCCGATGACGGCGACGAAGACGTGCTTGTGATCGTGGTCGTCGGTCGGAAGAAGAACGGGGAAAGAGGTGAGGGTGAAGGTGAAGGTGACGGGAGAGCTGATCTCCCCAACTTGAATTTGACTCGCTTCCTCCTCAACTTAACCTCCTGGTCACTGTGTCTCTTCTATATTCTATCCTGGGCGCCGTTCGTCGTGGAAACCGGATCGTTATTATCGATCATCGACTCGTTTTCGATCTCGGACTCCCGGACTTCGGATACTATACGACAATTATATGGACGCAAAACGAAATCATCATGTGACAATACCGCCAACCACTTCTCTTATAACTAAACTACACTCTGGTCTATGATGGAAATCGTCGAAAAAACAACCTACTGTAGACCTCGATGGGCGGAAGAAGGATGGGATGGCTTGGTCGCCGATGTCGATGTCGATGTCGATGTCGACGGCGAGGCTAAAGCTAAAGCTGATGTCGAGGCTGATGCTGATGCTGTTGCTGATGCTGCAGCGGATGAAGAGTCGCACGATCAGCCGGACCTCGAAATTGCATTTTAGCGGATACGACTTTGACAACCACAACCACGACCTTATAAGCGGACAGCTCTTAAGGGGTCCACCCGTAAAAGTGAAAAAAAAAAAGGTCGACGTTCGACGCGTTGTAGTGGCGAGAAGCGGCAAAAAAGCTAGAAGGGGGGGGGGGGCTGCTTAAAGTGCCGACAGTAGTATTCCAGTAGCCAGTGTACCCCACAAGCTACAGGAAGCGGGAAGCAGGAAGCAGGATGACATCTACATCTATCGTATGGGAACGCATCGCATGGGACGGGTTTATTCGGCCCGTTTGGCGATCTCACAGATTCATTGACAGATGACAGTGGCTATGGGGGTTCGCCAAGGACGACTAGAGGCTCGAAAGGTGTTGGTGTTGCGCACGAAGCGCGCGATCTGATTGGACCGCGGCGAACGCCGAGCCCCCGAGAATTCGAACCTGAACCTCGTCGGATGCCGGGATGTCGATATCTCGTCAAACGTTCATTCAGATATTCATCAACCCGCAACCCGTTTGCGGTCTATCGATCGTTGGGAGATTTGCGGATCTTAGGAACGACGACGACGACGAGGGCGGAAGCCCACGTTCCTCCGCAGCCGTTGATTGTTATCTCTTTGCCAGAACTTTTCTCCCGATCAGCCCGAACCCCCTCACCTCGAAACCTCGGAAGGATCGTTATCTCTCGCTCTCTTCGTTATCTCTCCTTGCAATTATCGCCCACCTTGGCTCGTTATCATCGATCGGTCCTTGACTTTGGGGTCCGTTATCTCTCTCTCTTCTCTGTGTTACCCTGCGTCCAGCCATGGTTCCTTGTCCGTCGAGCAAGGTGTGATGTTTGATTCTTACCTCTTTCGGGTCTCCCATCGGATTTCGTCATTTGCGGCGGTCTTGGCGTAGCAGAGTGTGTGTGAGTGTCAGTGTGAGACCCGAAGTGTTGAGCCATATCCATGTCATCTGCACCCTGACCGACGACGACGACGACGAATATCATCTCTCGATCTCTCGATACCTGAGGTGTAACAGTCGATCTCCATAATCCGAGCTCAGCAGCAGTACCTAGAGTAAGACGTCCGTGATCCGTCAATAGTCGATCATCGGATCCGGTATCATATCATATACAGTAATCGACGCCATCTATCCATCGTCCATCTCTATCGACCGTCGATCTCGATCTCGACTGGAAACACCCCGACCAGCTACCACTGTCCATTACCAATCCACCCCAACAACGGTACAACGAAGAAAGAAGGCGACGTGACGATACAATAATAATAATGTCTGATATCAGATCCGGATCGCGAGGTCGAGAGTTCGTAAGTATAAGTCTACCCTGCCCTAGGCACGACCATCGTATCTACCCCGCCTCATCTCACCTCATCTCACCGAGCTCGTTCTTTTTCGTCCTCGTCCTCGTCCTCGTCCTCGTCCTCGTCCTCGTCCTCGTCCTCATTCTCAAACTTGCCAATTGTGCATATCATATCATGTGTGGTTCTAGATCTCCACCGGCCGAGGCGGAGCAGGAAACGCAATCCGTTCTCCCTCTCGGAACAACGCAACGGGAACTCCTAAGGGTATCGACCCCAACCTCCAACCGGGGTCTGAACGAGGTCGAACCGTTCACCCTGCTTCTGGACTCCACACCGTCCACTCCGCCGGTTCCGAAGGGACCGAACGAGAAGGTAACAAAGAGAGGAGCTTGAGCAAGAACCGCATCCACACAGGAAGAGGAGGAGCGGGGAACACCCGATCGCCCAGCGTTTCTAAGCGGGACAAGGAAGAAGAGAGAAGGGAGGAAGAGTTGGAGGAGCGGTTGGTTGCGGAACGGAGGGGACGGGAGGAGATGGCTGGGAAGGGAGGGAGTTTCGGGCGGGGTGGGGCTGGTGAGTTCTTCTTTGTTTTTCTTTTTGATCGAGAGGGGGGTGGTTTTGGGGGTTTGTGGTTTGTGGTTTGTGGTGTGGGAGTCTTTTTTTGGGTTCGGTGTGTGGGTTGGGGATTTGGGGTGGTCAGAACGGGACGACGATGGAACGTTTCATGGATCAGGTCAGGGGAGACGATGGGCGATGATCTGATCTGATCTGATCTGGAAGGTGATTTACGAGACGAGACGAGACGAGACACGGTGCCGCTTCAAGAAAGACTTGCGACGTTACATCACAAAGGGTATAGAACATGAAGGGTGGAGGGTCGGAAAGGCCTTTCTGCGGAAAAGAAGGTTCGAAATTCGAAAGGATGGCTCGTATCGTCTAGTCTCGTTTCGTCGGGTAGTGAATGATGGAGGCCGTGGCGGTATCTCATCCTGGTTCTCGCGAGAGATACAGTCCAGATCATTTCTTCGTCTGTTCTCGTCGCTGGACCTTCTTTCCCCCCGCTCTGTGTTTCTTTTCGACCTCGCCCTCGTTCTATAACCTCTTCATCTCTCTCACGTACGATCACTCACTAATCCTCCTACCTTCTCCCTCCTGTTCACGCCCAAACGCATCGTCCATTCCCGACCCTGATAACTATCAGGCAACATGAACCAATCCCGCTCCCGCTCGCGATCCCGACAACCTTCCTTGACCCGTTCGTCCACTTCCGGGCCCAACACCAACAGCTCTCCCCACGCGCACCAGGGGCTGCACTTGAACCACCTTTTGCACCACGGAGGAGGGGGCAAGGGACCTGGGTCTCCGGCCAAGAACGGGCACGATGGCGAGTTGAGCAAGACGACCACGAGGAGTAGTAGCACTTATGTCGTGAGTAGCGTGTTCGCCTTGCCTTGTTGCGGGTCGCCTGGCGATCGGTCGAGGAGGTGGTGGCGGTGGTGTGGTGTTGTGTTTGTGCGATGGAGATGGGGAGGCTGATCATCTCTGATTTTGGGCCTGTGCACTGCATGCACTGCATTCTGATGAAAATCACGACGACGTTGTTGACGACGGCGACAGGCGAGCGGACGTGGAGGATATGGGAATATCATCTCTGCCGACCAGATGACTCCGGAACAACGAGCTCAGGTGAGTCTCTTTCCCCCGACTACGTGGGCTTGCAGCGCCACTGCTTGACCCTCTCGGACTGGACTGTATGCTGATGAATCGTCGTTCTGCTTTGATGATCTTCCGCCGCAGTTCGAAGCCGAGAAATTGAGCGACGCTCAGATCTTGAGTCGATACAGGTCGGGACATCCTCATGAGATGTAAGTGAGACGCGACGTACAGGAGGCGAGATACACCGCGTTGACAGTATCGTGCTCGATCTACGTATATCTCCTCCTTCATAATCCCGCGACTATCATACTCCTTGCTATCGATCCAACGACAATTCCCAAACCCCTCCCGGCCAACCCCGCAGCCACTCGTCCGGCCGTGGTGGCGGTGGCAACCTGGCCGCGCCCATCGAGACCGAGACCGAAGCGCGGATGGCCGCGATCTCCTTGGAAGAGCGCGAAGTCCGGGACAAGGTCGACGCCGAGTCTGCCAGGTTGGGCCGGACCACGGGCCACGGCGGTCTGGGCAATTATCAGCCCCCGCCCATCGTCGAGGTCGACGAGGAGGCCGGAGCGGGTGGTAGGGGTAGGCAGTCGAACGAGCTCAACGGCGGAGGTGGCGGGATGATGAGAAAGGTGATGAGGAGTCTGAGCAGACAGAGCGGACCCAGGGATAGGTCGGCCGTGAGGGGATAAAGGCGTCTGATCGCGCTCGAGACTGGGGGACTGTGGATCGGTTTTATTTTGTGTACAGAACGTTCTGCGCAGACTTTTGTTTTACTCGCTTGCTCTTCGTTGTGTCTATGGTCATGGCTATTGAAATTCACAACGCGAAATGTGCAAAGTCCACATACCAGCTCGGGGTTATGCCACACCTTCATCGGCATCAATACAACAAATTCCACCACATCAAAAATGGCAAGATAGAGGTAAAAATGGGCAAAAAGATTGTGACATAACGGTGAATCGAACACCGGTCAACCGCTGACCAAGGTTAAACATGGAAGGCGGTTATTCTACCATTGAACCATTATATCTTGTTGTATTAGGATGTTTCCCCACAAATATGACAGAAAAGCTCCCCTTACTCTCACTTCTCAAAACTTCTATCGTCAACTCTGATTGTTCCCATCATCTTGTAGATGTATCTTCATGCGGACTATACGATTGTAGTCAACTCCAATCGCACCATTGGGTATGACTTGCAGGCTTTCACAAAGTCAGTCTCCCTTGGAGCGTTGACGATGCCTCTTACAGAACCCTTCCTTCTGAACAGTATCAAGCACCACTCTCAGACAGTAGCTGGCGGAGCAAGTGAAGGCAAAAGTACTCTTGCCATTGCCAAAAGCTGGACAAGGAGTGCGTTTATCAATAGCTGCCTGGATTCCTTCCAAGAACGTCAGCTGATCCTGTGGAGATCTGATTATCTCCAGGGCCCGTTTGAGCTTCGTTTTGCTCTGCTGAGCGTCCAGGTTCCAGAACAAAATGTCGAGCTGCTGGAGCTTCTCATCCGTGGTCTCAGCAGGCAAATCCAGGGTGTACCCCCCCAGTTGCACACATCTACTGTTTGGCAGTGCAGCTTGAGATACTGGAGGTATATTCTGGTACTGTGCATGTTGGTAGGTATCCAAGGGGTTGGGGAAGATTGAGTTGTGGGATGGCGTGTCAGGAGGTCCAGGATGCATTGTAGGCCAGTGTGTCTGCTCATCTATCAAGACACATTATTGTCAGCTCTCTCAAAAACAGTCAGATGATGTAGTGACCCACATGCTGTAGAAGGATCAGGAAACCCGGCAGCTTGGGGCTCTGGGTATAACAAGGTTCCTGACATGTTCTGTTGTGGAGGCATGGAATCCATGGAGGGCGCATACCCCCTCTGACTGGGGTCGATGTACCAGTAGTCCATAGGCTGTGGACCTGATGGAACAATCTCTCCAGTACCTATACCAAGCTCACTGGGAGCATTGATCCCTGCTGAGATCGGATCCTGTTGGAGTAGGTGCTGAGGTTGTAGGTCATATCCTGGGTCATACACATAGGTAGGCTGGTCGTAGTGACTGATCGTCGTGTTTGGAGCTGTAGGAAATCCGTCATTGCTAGCAGGATCAAACATGTCACTGAAGCCCTGGTTGAAGTTGGGATGCACTGTTTGTTCAGGCAGCTGCATCTGCGCTGGGATTGCATTGTCAATATACTGGAATGATTCTGTGTTGCCTTCAAGGGTCTGGCTTGAGAGTTGACCGCTGGAGTCATAGAAGCCTAAAGGTTGACCATATGCATCGTAGCCTTGGTAATACTCCTGCACTGGAATAGCATTAGAGTCAGCGCCTTCATAGTGCGATGCCATCATGTTCCTGGTTGGAATCCTGGAATAAGACAATAAGATGGAATGTCCCTCAGCGTTGGACCAGTTGCTTGTTTCCCTCCAACTGGCTATATGTACACTTGTCTGAATCTGAATTTTGAAGATCAGCATATCATTTCGGACATGGCGTGCCAGCTCTCCTTTCGGGATGTTTTGGACTCCTCCTTGTTGAGGGAGCTTCTGCAGGCCGGTTTATCGACTACAACACTCGATCAAGTCGCATGCTGCAAGCAATCAGCAGTCGTATTAGATCAGGTGAATATAAAGACCGGTTTTGTCAGAGCCGTGTTTGCCGTTGATTAGTAACCTTGTTGTAATGGTATTAGTCTTCGACTAAGTGTTAGTCGCGAGTACTAAGCGTTGTTGTTGTTGTTGTTGATGAAGTCGGCTTGGACATTCATACCACGATCTACCTACCTACTTGCATACCGTATAATCGACATTCTACACTCTTCATTGACGACTCCAGCGTTCTGCCTAGATACATCATCCTACGTTATCAACGTCAGCTGAACATACGACAACCCGAGAATGTCGAGCGTGCTCGACCGTGTGCGGCAGTTGGAAGAGGAAACGCCATCGACGACCGAGAAGCAACAGCAACAGCAACAGCAAGATCAGATTGTCGACGAGGTGGTTGATACAGCTCACGAAACCTCAGCGCGGCCGGTAGATGAGCAGGATGAGGTCAAGACTCGAATCGAAGATAGCGAAGAGCCGGAGAAGGTCGAGTCGGTAGCTGTCGAGCCGAGGGACGAGCCGGTATGTCGATGCCAAGGGAGACATTCTCTGTCGTACCGCAACTGAATAATATGTGCACGTCAGCCGACAACCTCGTTGAACACGATCCTCCCACCACTACCCGTCCTCGATCCACTACCTGAAGATACCCACGCTCCCGATTCCCCTACCCTCTCCCTGATCGCCGCACTGCGTCAGCAGATCTCCATCTTGACTGACCAATCCACCGAACTGAATACCAAGCTCATCCGACAGCTAGAACGTGCTTCGGATCTGGAAGACAATCTCGAACATAAACGACATGCGGAAAAGGAGAAAGATGACCTGATCGCCAAGCTCGAGGGGGAGAAGGCTCAGTGGGAGGAGAATATGAATACAGGGTTGTTGGTCGAGCGAGGAACTGTGAGGGAAGAGATGCAGAGGTTGGTTGAAGGGTTGGTGGAAGAGGAGAAACGAAGGGGAAGTGCAGAGAGGGGGAGGGAACAGGTCGAACAGGAGATCAACGATTTGACGGGGACGTTGTTTGAGCAGGCGAGTAGAGGTCGTCGAACAGCTTATGGGCGAGTCTCAAGGCTGACCTCGGTCTGACCTTACCATGATGCTTGTGCAGGCAAACACGATGGTCGCTGCGGAGAAATACGCTCGAGCACAAGCAGAGACCCGATCTCGACAGGCAGAAGAAAACCTCGCCGCCGCCGAAGCTGCAATGAGGGATATGCAAGCTCATCTACAGTCTTTACCTACGATGCTTCTCCCAGCCGCCGACGTCTCGGCCACGCAAGCTCAGCAGAGACGGTATTTGGCAGCGACGATCACCCATATCGAGTTTACCTCGTTCATCGCCTATATCCGGATGCTTAAACCGCAATACCTGTATACGGGCCAGGTTTATCCTCCGGCTCCGGTCATCTCGAACTTGCTTTCTCAGCCATTTATCGCACGTGCCAGCCTGGAGGATATCGACCCGACCCTGCGACTGGATACGGCGCCCGATCTCGGATGGTTGAATAGACGGAGCGTACAGAACGCGATCGTCACAGGTGAACTCGCTATCGAGCCCGTCTCCCTCAACACGCTCTTGTCGACGTCGGCTTTTGCATCGGCGTACCCGCAGGATATCGGATGTGCGATGTGTGGGAAACAGGTCGTCGTTAGGCCTCCGGGGAGTCATCTGGGGGGACAGGGTGAGAAGGAACACTTGCCACCGCCTAGTCATCCTGCTGCCGCACCGGCCAAAGCTCAGGCGGGCTCGAGGTTCTCGTTCAAACCGTTCTTTACTTCGCCATCGGCTGCACCGTCTCCAGCGGTCTCTCCGGCAGCTTCGCCCAGCCCGCTACCTGCGGCACCTGCGCTCCCCCCTGTCTACGTGTTCAGGATCATGACCGCCTCGTCGACAGCCAATGACAAGGAAAAGGAATCGCTCGGTCGTTTGTACCCCCTGTGTGCGAGCGGATGGTGTCTCGCCAGACTGAGAGCGGTGTGCGAATGGTGGAGGTTTGTCAGGACGGGGATGATCGATGTGATCTGGAAAGGAGAAGACGGGTGGACCCGACCTGAACGTCCGATGCCATTGTCGATGGGCGGACGGAAACGGTCGAGCATCGCCCCAAGTGAAGACAAGTCGGCTCCGACTACACCCAAGGCGGCGACGAGTGAGACCATGCCCCCGACGGCTGATGCTGAACCGGTCAAGGAGGATGAAAAGCCAGAGTTGCCACCTAGGAAGAAGAGCGGATGGGGCTTGGGTTTCGGGTCGTTGGGAGGAGGCAAGGGGCTCGGGTTGAGCAAGGGCGACACGCCGCCTCAAAGCCCGTCGACCGAGTCGCAGAGTCGGTTGGGAGACAACGCGATTGTGGAAGAGGAGGTCAAGAACCCGGAAATCCCTGTTGATGTCCTTCCGACGGTGGATGAACCCAAAGCTGAGAACAACGACCTCAAGGACGAACACGTGATGTCAGAAGAAAAGCCTACCGCTAGAGAAGATGTCGAAGCGGACGTCGTCAAGCAGACCGAGGCTGTTGACGCCAACAGTGATACCCTCGCCGTACCGAAGATCAACGAAACGGCCGGCGACTCGGACGCCGAAGAAGGCGGGAACGACTTTTCTACGCCCAAAAGTACGACGTCTGCGCTGTTGGGCGAAGCCGCTCCTAGCGACAAGGCCGAGCAGGACAAGGTTGAGCAGGACAAGGTTGAGCAAGACGACAAGCAGGACAAGGTAGACGAGAAGGTTGATGAAGAAATCAAGGTCGAGGCTAAACCAGAAGAGCCCCAAGCCGTCGATATCTCCTCGCCCCGAGCGTCGGTGGACATCACTTCTGCTGCGGGTCGACCTTCGATGGATGCGTCGACAGCACCCCCTACACCAGCTCGTTCGGCAGCTCGACGAGCCGTTCCGCCCCCTCCGGGTTCAGCGGCCGCTCCGCCTCTTCCCGAACGCCGTGCTCGCCCCGCATCCACCGTCACTCTGAACGTCGATAGCGGCTCGACTGTCAAATCGCCCATCCTCCCCGTCACCCCGGATATGGCTTCGCAAAGCGCCGGCAACCCGGTCACCCCCGAACCTCCCACCTCTGCTTCGCAGTCAACCACTCCTCAGCCCGCCCCGCCCAAGCTACCCAACCGGGCGTCGATGGTTCCCGGCACGACCGCCCCGTCGAAAACGGGCAAGCGATACGTCGAGGGCGATAGTTGGGAAGCCAAGACGTGGAGAGAGGTCGTCAGGCTCAAGGAGGACATGTGGAAAGCTCGGGTCGGCTTGGTCGAGGGCGAGGACTGAAGTCCGAGAGGCCTGTTGGGGTCTGGGGTGATCCGACATTGGACGTTTCGCAAGAGTTGTGCATTTTGACGGTGTTGTACACATTCACAAGAGTTTATATCCTGGTTCATCAGTGGAACGGTAACGCTATACAATCCAATTATCTCGGTTTCTCTCGCTCTTGCTTGTGGTATGGTATATAATATAAATAATCTACGAGCATTATTATAATCGAAAGTCGAATAGGAACGAGCTCGCGGTATCAGACGGGACCTTCAGAAAGTCACCAGCAATCAACAGTTACAAGCCTGAGCGGCTTGTTGTCCGGACGCTTGACCGGGAGCGAGCTTGACGCCCTTCTGCCCTGGTTTGCCACTACCACCGGACGTAGCTTGAGGAGGCGGGGCGAGGGGGAGCTTCTTGGCCTGCGCATCCGAAAGTCGAGAGACGAAACCCGGCCTGGATCAGCCGTGGTGCTCATGATGACGATACCTCTGAGGCCAACCACGAGACGAGCCGAACGGGGACTCACCACCTGCATAAACACCTCTTGTACGTTCTCCCCCGTCTTGGCACTCGCTTCTACGAACAACAACCCTTCTTCCTCGGCGTACGCTTCGGCCAGCTCCCGGTCTGTCCCGCGAGAGGAGGAGGCGAGGTCGAGCTTGTTACCGACGAGGATGATCGTGATGGATGGGTCGGCTTGACGGCGCAGCGTTTGGACCCAGGTTTTGGCTTGGGCGAATGAGGCCTGCGAGCGACCGATTGAGAGGGAGGGGCGGAGCGGGGCGAGGTGCGAGGAATTGGGCAAGAGCGGCAGATGAGGACGGTAAGCGAAGAGTAGAGCAGACAGCGAATCAGCATGGACAGAAAGAAGGGACGCTTGTTAGAAGGTGGTTAGAAAAATGTAGACGGCAGATCTATACTTACTTCAGGAGGCTATCAACGTAACAATAACATAGAAAACGTCGAATATGATTGTAGAACTGGTCAGCGTCCTGTCTAAGACCGGTTTCGTACCGTGCATCGCATCGCACTAGAATCGACAGAACGAAACCCCCGGAGGGAAACAGAGTATAGGGGGACGTACCTGGGTTATATCGTAAACGATCACCGCAGCGGCAGAGTTCCGAAAGTAGATCGGGGCGAGGGAGCGATAGCCTGGGCGGGGGCGAAGCGGAGCGGAGCGAGAACGAGGGCGATCGAGCGCAGCGAGTATACAGTAGCGAAGCGTAGCGATGAGGGATTGTGGAGGAGTGTGGAGGAGTGTGAAGAAGTATAACGAAGTGTGGAAGAAGTGGTGATCAGCTCGAGGTTTAACACGATTAGCTTTGATTTGATCGAGGGAGGTGGGGCTTACGTTCTTGGCCCGCCTACGAGTACATATGATGCAATCCATTGTAATGCAGAGTAGCATAACCGTAAAAGTTGGAAAGAACCAGAAAAGGCAATTCGGGATCAGCGTACATCCTCCTCCTTTCAACCCCAAAACTGAGCTCGCCGAAAGAAAGAGAACAGGAGAAAGGGGCCCGCAGGCTGAAAAGGACGGGTCACGGAACAGACACAGATTTGGGACTAGGAATGGGACGTACGGTATCCCAGATCTCGAATTTGATATCCCTCCCTTCGTCCGTAGTCAGTGTTTGGGTTAGGAAGGCGGCACCTGGATAGATAGTATTTCGGGTTTCGGGGAACGAGAATGAGAATGAGATTGAAGGTCAGCCTGGGTCTGCGAATAAGGAAAGCGAGCTGAGGACGATTCGACGTCTAGCTTGTAGGATGTCGATGGACAGGTGGAGCTGGAAAGTTCGAGGTGGAGCTGGGAGGGGGACTTACCGATGGTAGATTCGCTATAGTATGGTTGTGATCGTGCAAGTATGGCAGGACCAGATCGAGAGGTAGAGAGGTAGAGAGCAGAGAGAGATTGGTGAGTCATAAGTCATACTATCAATGGGATCGACGCTGCGGGACGAAGGAGAGGTCGCTGTTACTCACCGAAAGTCCGAGTATTCGTCCTTGGCGAACCTGAGTACCAAGCTGCTCTTCCCTACAGCTGATTCGCCTGTGATTGTGATCGCAACGTTATCAAATTCAACAAGATTCGAGGTCGAGCGGCGTTGCCCTTGGAGCTTCAGCACAGCTTTCCGTGTGACCGTGAGGCTTCGGGGCTCACCGAGCAGGACGAGCTTGAACGATTGAGTGGTCCGGGACATCGATGTGTATAGAGCGGATGGAGATGGTGACTATGATGTTTGTGTGGTTTGTAGAGTGATATGGATGTGAGATGATTGCGAGGTTGAAGTTGTGTGTGTGGCGAGATCATGTGCATATGCTCAAGGGGAAGGTCGAGGTCGAGGTTTGATTACGTAATCGTGGAGAGCGACCATGTGGACGTCGACTTGTTTCATGTGTATCGTTACATCGTGTGCATCGTGTTTCAGCAGAGACGGTCGCATCCTGCTCTCTTCCTAATGGCTCGAGCACGCATTTAGGACGAATCCACGTGAGCGTAGAACATCATCCTTCATAAATCAGATCTCCAGCTCGATCTAGAGGTCACTACATATGTGAGATATGGTCTACTTGCACCAGTACAGTAAGCGCACAACAGCCGACACTGATTGGTAGGATCACTGGAAGCCGGGCCAAGCTTGTTATGATATGATACGATGTGTTATCCCTTGATTACACGTAATCTGCAATGTCGCTATACGGTATCCTTGTTAGTCGATTGCTGGGCGAAACCTCTGGGATGGAGCACTTGAGCGAGCGGAGTATTCCCATGACATGATATTGATTGGTTTCGACCGTATCAGGTGATCCGCGTATCGCAAGACGCAGTCGCAAGCCATGATCAGCCTAGTCGTTGTCCGAGTCGTCAATCACGATCACCTTCTTCTTCCTAGGGACCTTGGTAGGACTTGGGTGCTTCCTCTTCCCCTCGGTCGTGTTTGATTCCGTCGTTTTCGGAGTTGTCTTCCAGTGTTTCTTCACAAACTGATGAAGGATGACTGGCCATCAGCATCGCCCGTTTCTCTGTCTGACCGCGACCCAAAGCCAGGTGACGTACATCAAGAAACTCCGAGATATGACGATCGTCAGCATCACTCTTCATCACATTGATCGTCCACAGCTCCAGTACGACGTTGACCTGTTAAGTAGGATTTGTAAGGTTGATCTATACTAAAAAATGGATCCCTACTACCTGCCTAAGGGGATCGAGAACCCCTTGTAGCGTGCTCGCGACGCGGAGTCTAGGTGAAAGGAGGGTATGGAGAATAGCGCGAGGTGGAGGGTGTGGGACTCTGCGGGGAAAGCTATATATACCTAACGTTCTCCGCTTTCTAGCCATTTTCCCATTCAAAGGAAATATATAGTTGAAACCGACAATAACAAGGCTCGACTACCTACGCTTCAGGAAGAAGACCAGCCACACCTTTAGATCACATTCAGGATGAGTCAAATCACCAGCATCAAGATTGATTACAGTCAAGATCCACAAGTCTCGTCTGGCCACTCATCGTTGGACCGCACCCAGAAGGGACACGAACCCGGCAACGGAGAGGCATTCAGGCATTCCGTGTCCACTGCATTTGGTAGTCGATTCGGGACCGACGGCGACTATGGCTCGTTCGTCATCCCGAAGGACGCAGAAAAAGCCGAACTTGGCGAAGACGAACTCACGCGAACGTTCGACGCTATCATAGAGGCCCACCCAGAGATACTCGAATCCAACAAGCCCACATCGGGATTGTTGCAGCTACGCGAGGTGCAAGAACTGGCCTGGAACGATCAGCTTCGCTTTCGAGGCTATGTCATCGGGAGGCGATGTTTGCGAATGAAAGAGAAAGGGAAGGAGTGACCGATTCCCGTACCGTCCGGGTGTTCGTCTTGTATAGCGCAGTACTATATTATGCCAGCGATGGGATGAAATGCGCAGGTCGATGTGTTGCTGGAGAGGTTGTTCCTTGATCAAGCTTGACCCAGGTAGAGGGACAGGCATCTGTTTGATCATCGTGTTTCAGTTTGTGACAATGGAGGGTCATTCGCCACTCGCGCTATCTCTCATTCCTGGCTCGTGATATGGTGCCGCAATACAATGATCTTCTCGTCAGCTGATCGCAAGGCAAGACGAGATGCTATCAAGGTGTGAAAGGCAGCAAAAAGCCGAGATTGTCGTTTTCGTTTTTGTATGCTTCTTACCTTGGTTTCGTCTGATGAAAGGAGGCGCAAGCACTAGCATACTGTAGGGCGAATTTGCCACAGGTGGCTATATGTATGCACAGGGTTTCGCTTCTTATCACTCGAGAGGAAGGGTTATTCCGGCTGTTGCCCAGCAACACCGAACTTGGAAAGCGACTCGTCAAAACCCAAGCACCGAACCACAATCTAGACCATTACAGATGAGTCAGCAATTCAGGTCTCACGAACCTGTCCCCGAAAAAAGTAGATCGATTGCGACGACTGGAAACGATGCCTCTCGCGGAAACCTCGAGAGCAGCAAGGAAGCAGGTTCGGTATTGACCAATGAATCTGTCCAGACGAGCGCCGGTGATGCTGTTTCAATAGCAAAGCGAACCATCCCAAGCCGTCGTGAGCTCACCGAAGACGAGATTGAACGCCGAGCCTGTCAAGGGTTCGCAAAGCTACCTAAAGTCCGGGACACCCACGATCTCTGGCGCCACTGCTCATACGACATGGAAAAGCGTATCCGACTGGAAGCGCGCCAGGCGGAGGAGGTTCTAGCTCAGGCAAAGGGTGATAGCATCAAACAGGACCGACGATCTGTGGCAACGCCAAACAAGACCTCGATCTCCATGGGTGCATCTAACAGCTATATGGGCACCTCGTTCGTCCCCAGCCATGGCGTTGAGATCAAGCGTGAGATCAAGAAAGAAATTGTACCTCGCCAATCGAGACGAAATATAGGTTCCAAGCACAATGCCACGCCTCTTGGTCTCGCTACGTCGGCTTCATCTATGAGACGTTTGGATCCAGATCAAACCAAAAGGGACGCGCCACCTCGACGCAGGAGAATCAACAATTGCGGGAAAGGAAGACGGAAAGCAGCATCCGATTGAGCTACAGTGCGTAATGTCTATATATACCGACAGTCTCGTTCTTGATGTTGGATATCGAGTTGATCACCGTTGTATAGTTTGCATGAAGATAAAATATACAAGAGGGGATCAGGAAATCAGACCAGAATGGTCTGATATATATATTAATCTGAGAAGGCCTACTTGCGACCAGAGTCGCAAGTTGTGACTGAACATGCGACCACAGTAGTCGCAAAGTTGCGATTGTGGTCGCAACTTGCGACTGTGGTCGCAGATTGCTAAGCGGGAACAAAAGGAAAGGTGTGAAGAGTGGATGTGCTTTATTGTTCTATGCGGTCTATTGTTCTGAGAACAATAGACGTGTTGGAGAACAATGGGATTCGACACTCCCCCTCACTCAAGCGTCCTTTGTGAAGGTTGCCGGTTTGCCGCTGAGACCCATCCCGGTGACAAGGTGATGGAATTGGTGATGGGCTAGACCTTTGGTGAGAGCATCGGCAAGGTTATCCTGAGTAGGGATGTGGGAGAGTTCAACGGTGTTGTCGAGCACTTTCTCCCTGAGATAGTGGTGTCGCATGTCGATGTGTTTGGTGCGATCATGAGCGACAGGATTCTTGGAAAGTTGAATGGCGGCATTGTTGTCGTTGAGAATGGCAAGGGGACCAGAGACCGGGTGACCGAGAGATTCGAGAAGAGTGCGGAGCCAGACTGCCTGTCGGGTGGCATCAGCCGAAGCCATGTATTCAGCTTCAGCAGTAGAGAGAGCTGTGGTTGGTTGTCGTCGGGATTTCCAGGCTACCGGTCCTCCAAAAGCACGGAAGAGGTATCCGGTAGTAGATCGGCGAGTATCCAGACATCCGCCCCAGTCAGCATCGGCGTAGCCCAGGATGATCCTTTGGCCAGAGGTGGCATCATAGGTAAGGCAGAGTTCGATGGTACCTTGGAGGTATCGGAGTAGGTGTCGAGCAGCATGGACATGTTGCTTGTTCCACTTGCTGACGGTCCGAGCTAAGACTCCAGCGGCATGAGCGATGTCGGGTCTGGTGATGGTGGCCGCATACATGATCGATCCCACCATTGCTGGATATTCCTCATGAGCGGCTTCCTGATGTTCAGTGTCGGTAGCAGGAAGAGACCGGAAGCCGGAAGGAAGAGGAGTCTTTGCCGGTTTGGAGTCGAGCATGCCGAACCTTTCCAAGACCGCCTGTACGTAGTGTTCTTGAGAGATGTAAAGTTTCCGGTTGGGCCTGTCTCGGAAGACGTTGAACCCAAGGAAGTAAGAGACCGCTCCTGCATCAGAGCACTCGAATCGGTCGTTGAGTTTGGTCTTGAAGTCGTCCAGTTCCTGGCGATTGTTGCAGGCGATGAGTTGGTCATCGACGTGGACGGAGAGGATGAGAAGGGTATCCTTGGTTGATCGGATGTAGAGACAGGAGTCGGCCGGAGAAGGGTTGAGGCCGAGAGATCGAAGGAATTTGTCAAGAGCCTGATTGAAGCAGCTGTTATAGCGACGCGCGTGTACGCCGGACTCGAGTCGTACCAACTCCGGCGGAGTTGTTCAAGGAGCATATCGTATTGTATCACTTTGTATCATCATTGTAGTATATAGTCTTTCATCTGTTATTACATCTATATACCCTAGTCCTACGTTCTACATTACTCCCGGATATGTCCTCGCAGGTATACATCGAGCCGGTCTTCCCTGGAGCCTTCTCGACGCCTAACAGAATAACAGATCATCCGAGTTCCCCGAGTAATGACTTGAACGTAGCAACTGGAGAACCGTTGGTGCTGAGCAGCATAGGTTCTCCCTCTCGGCCGGAGGCTCATATTACAGTCACCGGCACCTTCTACCCGAATGGTACTCCGACGGAGACGGTCTTGATGATCGACTCAGGAGCGACCAGTTTGTTTATAGACACCGAATTCGTCGAGCAACACGGATTCGACCTCATTCCTTTAGAACGACCCCGACCACTCCTGGTCATTGATGGGAGAGAGATCTCTTCCGGTGCAGTTACACACCGGGTACAAGCTAGACTACGTATCGGTAGACATACCGAAACGGCGTACTTCTACGTATGTAGCCTCGGAACTTTCACAACGGTGCTCGGCCTACCATGGTTGAAGGAGCACAACCCCCGAATTGACTGGGAAATGAGCGCAGTAGCGTTCGAAGATAAGTGCGTCCAGAACGGATGTACACCAGCAAAAGAAATAGTATACTCCCCCGTGGATTACGAAACGGAGGAGAAGGGTTAGGGGTTAGGGGTTAGGGGTTAGGGGTTAGGGGTTAGGGGTTAGGGGTTAGGGGTTAGGGTTAG